ATCTTCACAATCCAGAAAAACAAAAAACAACTCGTCTTCATAATGACAAACGCCCTTAACCTCCCAGCCTCTTCGAGATGGCCACCGTTTCCCGAGTCGTAAAGCCTGAGACTCAACTACACGTTACATAGCCTTTTCTGCGGCACAGGCAAGCAACTGGTGCTGCTGCTCTCTTCGCGGAAAGTCTCAGGTCCTGAAAAAATATTCAGGCGGAACGTTAGATACGCATTCTTCTTCAGCGACCCCCTGTGCCATCTGAGTACTCCATAATCAATCACTACCTGGCGCGACGCAGGACAAAGGTGACCTTCCTTCCTGCATCCCTGGGACACCATCAAGGGCGGCGGGTCTTGAGGATTACTGATTCCAACAGGGTTCACTAACTCTGTAAGGATCTTTACGGATAATCAGAGCCTGCTGACCGGGAAAGAGCTAGCTATCACCCGACCAGGGAAGAGCTAGCTATCACCTGCATCTCAAGTTCAGCCCTACCCGACTTAAACAGACCCAAGGAAGAGGATTATCCAAAGAGCTGAATTTCGCGTTATTGAGACGGGACGGCAAAGCCATACACCATTGGCTGATGACCTTGCAAGACCCACTACAACCCATCCCGACAGACAGCCTTAAGCGTCCAGCTGGAAACTACATGTCTTCCAATGAGAATCCTGCAAGACGCACTGCTATATTCGTCCCCATACCGCCTTCACCCGAACAGAACGCCCGGCCATTGTGCCCGACTAATAAAGTCGCAACAAATACAGATAAAATGACCGGGCGTTCTATTCCGGTGAGGACAGTAGGTGGCGCCGGGCTCATCTGTCCGCAGAGTTTGCATGCAACTCTTAGCGTAGCGTGTGTTGAGACGGTCCTGAGGCTTTCCCGAAAGCAGTCTCGGTAGACGATATCAACCAATGCGGATCACATGCCAAGAAAGTTCATTCGTTCTTCTATTCACCATTTCCTGGTATCGTTTTTCCTTCTGAATTTAACTGTTCTATCTGATTGCATCCGGATTCGAACTTGCGTCTGTACTTCAACAGTTCGTAGGTGTACCAACTAAGCTAGGCTCGTCGGTTTTCCCCGGATCTTCTACTCGACAGGTCTTCAAGAACTGGATAGCCCGACGAGACGAGCGAGCAGCAAAAGAGCTCACATCGTCGCCGGGCAACTACCTAGTGCGCAGTCCAAGCTCTCCCTCGCTTGACAGCGCGAGCGGCCCGACGCGTGCCCCTCCGTTTCCTGGCGCCCACTGCAACCCCTCTCCTATTTTCAGAGAATCAACCTCAATCGCCGTCACAGAACGGCGGACGTACAGGATCTTCGATGAACCTGTACGTCGTTTATACCCCATTCATGGGATCTGTTCACTCCTTCGACCACCTACAGGCGGCACGACATTCACCCGACCCCAATGCCCTCGCCCGCTGATACTACACAGCTGATTGCCACCACTTGACGATCAATCCGCGCTTGTCAGACTGCTTGATTGATCCATTCATTGATTGATGACTGGCTCCATAAATATGGACACATTGAGAAGAAAAGAACGCATTGGATACACATTACCCGCGTACTCAGACAAGCAATCGACCGTTCTCATCGGCTGGTTGCGTTCACTTCAACCGTCGTCGGCCGTGGATTGACGGCCCCTACACTTCCTTTGACCCAGCCACTTCGCGCATTTCAAAAAATTGGCAAGAACATAAAATTATCAATGTCGCCGAAGGCAAATTGTTAATCATCGACATGGATTTCAAAACTCCCATTATTAAAAAAAAAAAAAATCGCGGAAGAGTAATCGATTTCACTGTACAACTCCGAAACCCGCTTAAACGCTCAATCGCTTTCCCTGTAACCCTGCACCAAATACCCGAAAAAAATACACCGCGATGTAAACAGACGCCCCGACATCTCTCTTCTATGTTACTTCCCGAGTTTCCTTGTGACCTCTTTTCTCCACCATACACACGTCCGCACGATTGCTAGAAGCGGACGATTCATAGCGTCAAGGAAGGGATCATGGGATCGAACTTCTCCTGACAAACATGAATTTTCACGTTCGCAAAAAAACACTGCGGCATTGACATGGGGAGGAGGAGATCGAAATTGATGTGATCGGCGCTGGTGGGTTTTTGCGAATGTGAAAACTCATGTTGGGCAGGAGGCGGCTCCATTGCATGATCCCTTGCTTGACGTCTGGTTACGTGGAGGACAGATGTTGGGACGTCTGATTTCAAAGCGGGGTACTTTTCAGGGAAATTGGTTCAGGGCGATAGGGAAACTGATTGAGCGTGTAAGCGGAATTGAGAGTTCTACAACGAAATTTGTTGTTCTGTTCTATGATTCTCTTTCATAGTGTGAATTCGCTGTAATGATTCCTAATCTTGAAATTTTTCAAAATGCCTGAAGGTGTGGATCAAAGGAGTAGCCAGTAAGATAATTAGTCGACGGAGATCGCTATGCTGATCAGAGATGACTTACTGTTAGACGAAAAGATTAGAGAACCGGATAAACATCGTGAGCACCGGAGGCCCCCCAACTAGATTCTTTGAAAGAAAATAAGATTCTTAGCGAGACCAATCAATACTTACTGATCATTCCGGGAATGGTCCATGATCACCTGGGCATTCAGACGATTGTGCGCTGTGGATCAACCAAACTCGCACCGAATAGACACAAACGTGGATTACGTACCAGAATTGGACAGATCATGAGAGTTTCGTTCATTGATATCTCCGGCAAGGACGTCATCGTCAAGAGACATCAGAGCCATCAAACGGCGACTCTGCGATTCTTGAGCTCCATTTAATCCAAGAGCCCACGTTGGATGTTTCGCACCCTCTGGCCCAAACCAGACACGTAACTGAACCAGCAACTCTCTCTCTCTCTCTCTCTCTCTCTCTCTCTCTCTCTCTCTCTCTCTCTCTCCGTGTGTGTGTGTGTGTGTGTGTGTGTTTGCAGGCGTGTATGCCTGTCTCCGTCCATGCATATACGCAGGTGACGAACTCGCGCGCAGGCGCGGAGTTTGAAATCTGTGCAATGTGTCCGAAATATACATAGGGTGCTTCCACAGGTTTGATATCCACAGATATCCACAGATCTCGGCATAACCTACTGGAAGGCCTTCCTTTTGCTCAGCCGTAGAGATTGCCAAAGCAATCCAGTCCGTACTGCAACGACGACCGCGAACCGCGACACCTTCCGTCATCCCTATTCGCTTTAGCCCTAACAACTGACATCCTTATGCCGTTCGTTGCCATGGTCGGTATCTTTCCTTTGCCGTTATCCGCAGAGCAACACACAGTACGTGCTTCGGGAGTTTGACACAAATGTCACTGGTTCAGTGGACTACCACCGTCCTCGCGCGCTACTTGCTTTTCAGACAAACACAAAGAAACACACCGCACCATGCCGTGCGCATTTCTCTAATGTGCACGAGATAGTACAACATAGTTCACTTGGTTACTACTGCCCTCGCACGATTGATCCGTTTTTGAATTCTATGGTGGCCAAGGAAACATTTGCCGCTGAGGGAATGCATCCATCTTTCCATTACGGATGTATTCGTTTGAACTCCGCCGCCACTTGTGCGAGCGCCAGAAACAAGAAAAAAGAAGTGTTAACTAATTGGAACTGAACGCGATGAGGAGCCACTCGGCGCACGTAAATGGTATGAAGCGAGTAACGCGGGTCTCCGGTTCACACGTCCTTACCAAAGGACGTGAAGAACAATGATGCGCACAATACATGGACATGAGAGGGAAGCGATCGCAGATATGCCCACAACAAGTTCAGCGTAAGAACATTTCGTGAAAAACGAGGGGGCTGCGGAGAAAGGGGACGCAGAGCCGGGGCAAGTTGAGAAACTTTCGGTGTACGCCACCGTGAGAACTTATCTCACGTCATAACCCCACACATAATCGCAAAACGAGAAAATAGACACCTTCCGTCTATTACAGCCATTGTGATCAAATTTCTGAAAGGCTGCTAACCCTACGTTGAAGTTACGAAATTGAAGGTGGCGATTACCCGCCAACTGTCGGTCACAATTCCTTAGTAACAGAAGCAGCGCCAACAACAACAGGTACTAAGACATAAGTCGCGAGTTCGAGACACACTTAAAGGACACCTTTGGAGCTAGCGAAGATACAGGTGCAATGAGAGTCGGCAATGCAAACACTAAGCATTGCTTTTACGAAGCAGAAGCAGAATGTTGGAGTTGGGGGGAAGGGTCCACCGGAGGGAGAAAAAAGATACGCAGTTGTTTTCATTCTTCGTTCCATCAACGCCTGCTTTCTTTTGCAACAAGGAGCTCTCCATCGACATATCGCGCGGCGTCACCATTGAACCATGCGTGCACTACATGAACGCACAGACTGTCGAGGAGGCACGGCATCACCGACGCACATAATCGCACTTACAAACCACCCTGTCGAAGACGAGACGGCACTTCTAAGACGATCTACAATACAATCACCCCAGTTCTGTCTGAACCCAAAGATCACGCGGCTAGGGATATGCCCGAAGGATTTTCCAGGCGCATTTTCCAGGCCCGCCATCAGCGTACACACACAAACTACCAACGCCGCCTTTCCTGGCTGCCGACCAACACCCACTTCCCAATCAGAGTACTCCATAGAGGCATTCCCGACCGCGACTACACAACTCTCTCTCTCTCTCTCCCTCTCTCTCTCTCTCACACACACACACACACATAGACGCCGGCAAACGCGCGCGCGTGCGCACGCAAAGACTCACAGGCATAAAATAAACACGCTCCCACATTAATAAACACACGGAGACGGGGACACCTGCATGCGCACGCACAAACGTAACAGACAACACAAACGCGTCCTCTTGCTGTCTATGACGCACAAGTACTCTACTATAATATTCTACAGTGCAGGGATAAATGCTTCATTCAAAAGTGGAATGGGGAGACAGCGCGACCGGAAGAGAGCGAGACGGAAGCAATTTATGGGCTTGGCGCGACCTACCTCGCTGTACACCTCGGCTCTTCCTCCAGATGGCTTGGACATAGAGTCCTGCGTGACAGAGCTCATCGCCTGCGACTCCCCAACCCCGCTCAGCCTTTCCTGGTTCTCAGAGTCGCTAGAATGGGTGCTGCTGTTGGGATTGAAGAGCCGACCGTTCCTGCTCCTGTTGCTATTGCGGGGACCTCCGGCCCCTACACCCCCCGGATTGGATCGGGCACGTGCGGCAGTCACGCGCGACTGCCCTCCACCCACTCCCGCCCCGCCGTCCACCAATCGCCCTTGCTGCTGTGAACTGCCCGACGAACTCCCTGCCACTCCCGCGCCCTCGCCGACAACCCGCCACTCGCTCTTCCTACCATGCGCTTGCTGCATTCCCTGCATGCTTGGCCCAGTTTGGATTTGCACCCCAACCGCGCTCTCCATCTGCAGCTCCTTGAGCTGCTAGATGGCGGACGCTCGTAACGAAGCTCGCCCCTACTTTTTCCTCTCCTTGTACCCCTTCCACCCTCTCACCCTCCCTCGCTCGGTCGCGAGCTCGCTCTTCCAGCTCGATCCTACGACGAAGCCACCCCTCTTTTTCTTTTCCCTCCCCCCCTCTCCCACCCCCCCGCACCCCCAAGCGGGGGAGCTCCGATCCCTACCGACAACTTCCCAGACCTGCGGTTCTCGATATCAGTGAGGACGGAGTTATCCAATATGCGGGAACACCTACCGTCTGCGGCTTACGCATCGCAACTTAGTTAATGAGCGCCATACGCCCTCCTCATTATCGATCCGTCGACGACCTTCCACTCCCCCCTCTCCACTCCAGCAAAAAAAGGTGATCCTCGAAAAATAATCACCACTTCTACCTTCTCCTACGTTCACTTACGACATTTAAGCGGTGGCCCATACGTAAAATAATCCCCACACGCTGCCCCTCTCTCTCTCTCTCTCTCTCTCTCTCTCTCTCTCTCTCTCTCTCTCTCTCTCTCTCTCTCTCTCTCTCTCTCTCTCTCTCTCTCNTCTCTCTCTCTCTCTCTCTCTCTCTCTCTCTCTCTCTCTCTCTCTCTCTCTCTCTCTCTCTCTCTCTCTCTCTCTCTCTCGCTCTCGCTCTCTCCCACACAGGTACCGCCTTGCCCTGCCTCCTCCGCCGACTGCCTACACCTCTTCCGCTCACGAACGAGCCACAAAAATTCTGGCCCGCATACCAATCAGAAATGAAGTCCGAGGTATCATCCGTTGCGGCCGCAAAGGAGAGCATCCACTGCCAACATAAGTGCCAGGACCAACGAATACAGGGTTCAATTGCCTCCAACTACACCTGACAACTCCATTACCACTTCTCCATACTTCGTATCGTCCTAAAAGAACAACCCTTACGACGATGTCCCCAAGCAGCCCCACCAAAGAGAGGATGACAGAGGACTGCCTTGGCTCCCGTACCTCTCTTGACGGAAAGCAAAAGAACAGAGGGGAGGAGTCCAACACGAATGGGAGAGTGATGAAAAGCAGGTCGAAAGTGCGGCAGAGAGAAAACCAGAAGCGGTCGAAGAAGAAAGGACCCCCAGTGAAGAGAACCAGACCGGAGGACCTGACAAGGCCTTGAGGTGACTGAAGCACTGAAGAGATTTAGGGAAGATGCGCGGCCGATTAGGTCTCCTCAGCTGATGGATGCTTCTCAGATGTGACTACGTACGTGGAAGAAGGAATGGATAGAAGGAAGGGAGACATCACTGCTAGCCTTCGCTGGCTCTCAACTCAATTTTAAACGATCTTCCCACAGGTCCCGTGGTGATCCAATAGACGTCGTCAACCCCACACCCTGGAAAAACGGATCCACAACAATGTCTGGGCCGAATGACAGACGATCATATGAACACTTGCCCGCCAGCACTGCCGGATATGCCCCAAAATTGAAAGAAAACCCTCGCGATATACATACAGTCCTTGCGTCATCCGACAAGCTGGACCTTCCTTTTCAGACACAGAACTTCCCACTAGAGAAGAAATAGCGAGGACGCCGGATGCCGCTCCAGGTCGGCCACAACAAGTGCAGCATCAGAAAAACGATCAATCAGCAATAAACCGTCGGGAGAAGAGGGGCGGAGCCGAGAGAGAGAAGCGGAGTCGATATGAAGAGGGGAAGCGAATAGATAGCGGAGGAAAAATGGAGGCGACCGCAGATGTCTTCGTGGTATTCTCAAAACAATCAGCAGATTACGCAGCGATGAGCGCTGACAAATAACCCCAAACCACCGAACTTGCCCGTGTGAAGAAAAGGGAAAGGGAAAGACGCAGAGACAGAAAGAAAGAAAGCGAAAGAGAGAGAGAAGAGAGGAAGAGAGAGAGAGAGAGAGAGTGACCGAGAGGAGAGACAAAGAGAGTGACCGGGAGAGACAAAGGTCGATGGGGAATGCAGGGCTGCTATTGTGGACGACGTGAGGAAGAATACCAGCGTGAAAAGAGGAAAGGCGGAGCCGCGCCGATGATCTGCACACGCGCGCACTTCACCCCCTATCACCGGCATGGACAGAAAACCACCACCAGCCCAACTCCGTCTCCCAACTCCAGCTTTGCCAAGCCTCCGACGGGAAGAACAAGGCGCCGGCCAACAAACCAAATCGCCAAACAACCGCATGCCAAGGGAACGGGAAAAGTAACCCCTGCACAGGAGGCGCGATGGCCTGGGTCACGCCCCCCGCTTGTCTGCCTGCCCGCCTGCCCGCCCGCCCGCCCGCCTGCCAGCTCCGGAAACCATCTATGAAAACGAAGGAATACCGCGATGGCGTTCCGCGCCCACCGCACCTCCGCCCCTGCCCTTCCCCGCAGTCGCGCTACGACAACATACCGGTGATGAAATCAAACCGAGGCTCCAAAAACTCCCACACGAGCCTCAACTCCCCGACACGGAGCGCAGCTGGACACAGGCACGCAACTGATGGCAGATTAGGGAACAGTCAGGTCAGCCGGACGGCTCCCACACCCTCTCCCGTGGCATCCTCGAGTCTGTCTGATGAGGACAGCTCCGCGACGCGCAACCTTACGAAGAGCCGCCGGGGGACCACTCACGCTCTAGAGCTCTTGGGCCCGGCTACTGTCTATGCGCTGATGGAGTTGCGCAGAACCACTGGTGCAGAGGCAAGTTCCCGCATACCCCAAATAAATAAAAGGCCTGGGTGGTATAATCGGACAACCCGACCCGCCATCCTACTCGCATACACAATGTAGGTCCTCCAAATCCAAAGACAAAGATAATGAATGTGAAACTTCAGTTACACCCAGAAAAAGATGGCTCCCGAAAAAGAAAAAGAAAAAAAAAGATGGCTCCCGAAAAAGAAAAAGAAAAAAAAAGATGGCATGGCAGCTGGGCACACTCCAGATGCAACTTCCACGTTGTCCGGGACACGTTAGGCATGGAGCTTCCGTGTACACCCAAATCACTGGGTCGGCCGAAGCTGCTGCGCTGCGCAACATTTCACTAATTGACTGAGAGCGGTAGCGCAGCCAAGGGTAGGCCCGGGTCGTCCCCGTTTTTTTGCTTATTTGGAACTTGCTCGAATTGGCCCGGGCGGTACCGAGACGTTTTTGAGCCTTTTGGGGCCTTCGCCACACAGACTCTTGAAAGAGGAACTCTTGCGTCGGTGCTGCTTGCTCAAGCCAACGAGATGCAGAAAGGACAAACATTTAATTTTGTCGTTTTGTGAGCGGTTTTAGCTGACAGCTCTTGAGAATCATGACTCCTTCAAGGGGTCGGACGCTTGAAAAGCCGAGGGTTGCAGGCTGGGAAACTAAGTTTTTCAAGAGTTCCCTGTTGAAGATGAATTCAACTCTTGAAAAGGTCTGACAGCTCTTGAATCATTTCACTGTTTCAAGAGTGGTGTGGCGAGGCCCATAATCAGGGGCATTTTATTGGGGGGACGAAGCCCTCTCTCTCTCTCTCTCTCTCTCTCTCTCTCTCTCTCTCTCTC